AGAAGTTAAAACTATGGAAAATAGTTGAAACCAGCTACAAAAACAAATGGATAACAATGGAAGAGCAGCAAACTTTACATCAGGTGTGCAAGATGAGTTCTATTTTAGTTTGAATAAAGTTACAAGGCAGCCCATTTAGCTGTGAACTAGACACTATTGAAGTAGATAAAGAAATGTTAGAATAAAAATAAAGTTTGAAAATGAGGTTCTTTATTCTAGGGATACAAGTAGATCATTGTTGCGGAGGTCTATTCTATTTAAATACATGATTGTTGATATAAAAATACAAACCTCCATCTTATGGAAAGTTCCCACAGCAATCGTCTATCACCTATGATAACTTTTATAGTTATTTTCCATTTTCAATAGTAAAAATAACAAACTGTATGTATTATTTTCATATATAATGCTTAATTTTTTTTTGTTACTTTTAAATCAAAAGGTATAAAATAAGTTTTTGAAACAGAAAAAGATTTCTACTTTACTATTTTTCTTATATTTAATGATAATAATAGTTTCATCTATTTTTAACAATGCCTTTTTTGTCAATATATTCACTTTTATTAAAATCAAAGTAGAAGGCTGAATAATTAAAATGAAAAAAAAAAATGATTATGATTTTCAGAATCAGCATGAAAAACTATTTAAGAAAAATTGGTTAAACTATAAAAAATCTGAAAAAAGATGTATATGGACCCCCCTCCCCACCCCTACCTCTAGTTTAAGATATCCAGAAACAGTTGAAAATTCTCCATCTCCAGAACAGATGAAAAGAATGGTATATTTTTAGGAACTAGTTTATTTTGTCAAATAAGTACGTAAAAGTCACCAATTTTTATATTATTACTAAACAAAAAAACAGAAAAATTGTTAGGTAGGCTATGTGTGTTGATTTAAATAACAAACAAAATAACATACATAAATAACATGTATTTTTGTATTACATGTATTTTTGTTTCTGAGAAATAAAAGTTGATTTCATGCAAATAACACAGGTCATTATTTTAAAATGGGGCAATGTACATAGTTCAAATAGATTGTATACATATTAAATTTACTAATTCAAGTATTTAATATATAGGTTCTCGTAGGTTCCCAAAATTATGTAATACTTTTGTACAAAATAAAAGTATTAAATGTTAAAAACTTACCTTGTTATTTTAACGCCAGGTTATAAGTGTATTATAAAGGGTGATATTCACTTTATATTTTTTTTATAAAGCTTTACTGTTAAATAGTTTAAATATATAAACTAATACCGTAAGCTCATGAAATTTTAAAAGTTTTTTTCATTATACATGAAATCGCAACTGATTTTTCTGGTTTTAAAAGACACTATTATACTCAAAACAATTTTCAAAACATTAATTGAGAGTATTACAAATATGGTTTGTTATAGGGTTTGCAATCCCAGAGGTCTTTCTCAATTTGGGATTCCAGGATTGAGAAATATAATCGCGTGTAGATCAATACAATAGTCTTTAAGTTTTTTTTTTCTAATAGTTAGTCTAAAAGTTGCATTTTTCTGCTGGTATTGACCCTGTATTAGCATTAAACCCAAACTCCAAAACTGAGAATTTTTTCCATGAATGTTAATATTCATATAGCAGCGATTTCGAAGTGACATCCATTTGTCAAAAAACAAAAAAAAAATTTCTTGATTACCCCAAATTCTGTACTTTGAGCGCTTTAATTTGCTGAACTAAACCTAATCTTACTTTTTTGCTGTACTCTACTACATGATTTGTGTGTACTGACGTTGGTAAATTTCTTATAGCAGTTAGAGTGGCACGTAAGTCTATTGAAGAACAAATCACATTAAATGAAAGTCCGTCAGACGCCGTTAGACAAGCAAGTGTAGCATGAAGTGTTTTATTTTCCTTTTCAAAATCGAAAAGTATTCTGTTTGTGGTTTAGACTTCTTTTTTGGTGGTTTATCTGATGTGCTTTCTCCAGTAATATTAGGTTGGGTTGGACTTTCGACCTTCACATTATGCACCAACAACATGTGTATATGAAGTCCTTTTGTTGAACTACCACAGGTTCTTAAAATCTTATTACAGTTTGGCAGTTTACACATCGCTGTTTGCCCTTTCTCTTCTCGTAAAAAATATTTCCTATCAGCTGAGTTACTTTTAATTGTAAAATCCACATAAATGCCATGCTTATTTAATTTAAGCTAATTAAATTAATTAAGCATGTTAATTAAGTTAATTAAGCTAAAATGTTATGTTTATTTAGGTTTTAATTTTAAGAGTAAACCTTGTAAGAAAGGTACGTATTTTTTTCAATTATAAAAAAGTTTATTTTCCAGAACAACAGAGCAGAATAACTGAAAATAGAATTACTTTCTGCGATATTATACTAAATAAAAATTATTATATTGATGCGCATAAATTGATGTTAATTTCATAAATTTTTTGATTTCCACTTTATTTTCTTTGATCGTATAGGGAATCCCAGGATTGATATTAGACAATCCCAGGATTTTGGGATTATTAAAAAGGCCAGGATCCCGGGATTGCAAACATTAGTTTATTATATGGTTTTGAATCTAATAAATATTCATTTTTAAGGTTTTGTCCACCACCTGACTTACTGTGCAATGCTTGTAAATTGCTCTAAATTTAATCAAAAATAGTAAAAAGCATAACTTTGAACAATGGGTGCAAATACTTAACAAAATAATACAAATAAGAAAAAACAAAAAATATTTACATATAATTATGACCTTTTTGCACCTTATTAGCCACTCTGCATAAAAAATGGTTGTCGAAAAAAATTATGGGATTGGCTAATTGAGTAAACTTTTGATTGGGCAATCAAGTATACTGGGGAATTGAGTATTCTAGGGAATACTGGAGCATTGAGTATACTGGGGTAAGAGAAAACAATTTAGCTTCAAATGCAATTACTTTTTTAGAAAAAATATTTTATCTTTTTTTGTTATAGAGAATTTTTTACATTATACAAATATAAAAATTGAGAAAAATTTAGAACATTTAAAAAAAAAAAATCATTAATCGAAAAAAATGTTTACTGGTATACTTTCCCCTTATAATTGGGGAAAAGTATACCAGTTAAATTTTAATAGCAATTGATTAAGATATTAAGAAAATCAAGCTAAATTAATTAAAAATGAAATTAAAACTAGTCTTATTAGTAGATGAGTTTACAAAAAAATATTTTAATCAAACATACGAAAAAAACTATCAATTAAATAAATTTGTGTTGTTTCATGGTCAGAAGCAAGTTTGCAACATTTTTTTTACATTAAAAAAAACTTCACCATTTTTGTATTTTTTGGGTAAGCACAATCAACAAACCAAGACTTGCAACTAAAAGTTTCACATTGATACCTTGTTGATACCTTGTTGATACCTTGTTGTTATGAGCAATGCTTTTAAAAGTTATTGAAATAACTTGTTTTTTTTTGTCTTTGGTACAAGAAGAAGCTCTGAGTGATGATGTTGTATGCCTCTAAAGCTTTACTGAGTGATATTTTGTCTTATTTGGTTTGTTCTAGTTGCAATTTGCATGTTTACTGTTCCCCTAAAAAATTTTTAATATATTATTGATTATTAATTAATCAACACTCATCTTAATGCATAAATGAGAGCAATAATCATGTTTGCCCCTGAAAAACATTCATTGAAGGTTATTTATTAGTTAAGCTCATCTGAATGCATAGTGTGAGCATTGTGAAGATGTGTTTTTAAAAAAGCTTCACAGGGTTTTTTTATTTTGTTGCTATTAGCTGTTCAATTTTATTAATGGTTGTATTTTTTTTCGCTGGAGTCTTGGTACCATTTTATCTACTCACACCGTTGAAGCTGTTGTTGTTAACTAGTCTAAGTGTAATTTGAACATCTGACAACTTTTAAAGTTTTTAAAAGCTCCACAGGGTTTTTCTTTTTGAACTCTTTGTAAACTGTTTAATCAATTGATTGCATCCCTTTTTTTTGCGTGTCGTTTGTATCATTTTATCTACTTATGCACCACTGGAAACTGTAGTCTATCAGTTTTAGTGTGATTGTGTGATTTAAAAGATAAATTTTATCAAAGTTTACTATAAATATACATATTCAGTCTAAATTTATCTCTTTGTACCAACAGTATCGTTGTTAACAAAAGAATTATTTAGTATATTTTACACTCTCTTTTTTTTTAATTCAATGCATTAGCAAAAAAATAAGTGTTCAGAAATTTAGTATCGCTATTTTAAAATATCATCTCTGCTACCCAAAATTTATAATATTTACCATTCTATAATCCGCTTCAACTGAAAAAAAAAAAGAAAAAGTTATTTACAATAAAAACATGGATGCCGAAAATTCAATAAACATGGATGCCAATAAAACTGTTTTTTATAACAGTCTGTTAAAATTTCATTATCAGAACTCTACTAAAATTTTAACAAAAAGATGTTGTAAAACTTTTGTTTCATTTTAAAATTTGGAACTGCAGCAATACCCACAGAAACAGTAATAATAGGACTTTTTGTCAAAACTTTATTTTTTACTAGGATGAGAATTTTAAAGTTTTAAACAACAAAAAACAAAATTTTATAAAACAGTTTTATAAATACCTTAAGATAAAACATTTAAATTACAATAATTAAAATTCTTTTCATCTTACACTTTGAATTCTTGAATCTGCAATTGTTAAAGAAAAAAACTTTTTTTCAAATTCAACTACTTATTTTCTTTTTATCTACTTAATTATTTTTAAAACTTAAAACTTTTTATCTACTTAATTATTTATCTACTAACATAAAATTGGATAAAGTTGACTTTAATACTTTGAATACTTAAATATCTTTAAAAAGTTGACTAAAATACTTTTGACATTTGATAACATAAATTTATTAATAAATATTTATTTATTAATATATGAATTTTTAGTAGTTTTAAAAGTAAAATAATGATATAAAAACAAAATAAATAGTATAAAAATTTTTGACAATTTATTTTTGAACAGAATAATTTTTTTTTTTTTAGGCATACATCAATTGTTGTTTTTGACAAAGAATATTTTTTTGGAGGAGATGGAATATCAGACTGCACTCCAGTAAGAATAAGAAAGCAGATTAAAGATATTAGTACACAAATGTTATTTTTTTTTCAACTTTATTTTGTTTTTTTAGTGTGGCACTATACTTGGGCCACCTGATGAGACTATAATACTTGGTGAAACAACTATCTCAAAAAATGTTTTTCATGAATATTTGACAGGATTGTCACAAAAAACCTTTAGGTAATTTTTATAATTCAAATTTAACCATAGACCCCATTTTGTTGACAATTTTTTGGAACTCATTGCATACATTTTGACTACTTCTGGTTTTAACTTTAATATACTTTTGTTTGTTTATAAACTTTTTTACTTCAGTTGAAGCAGGTTGTGATGTTCTTTAGTGAGCTGAACTTGTCTTAAATTTTCAAAAAAAAATGTAAAGAGTTTCTGCATTAAAGACAAATTTTAAAACCTATTAAAAGAATTGATAGTTCATGTTTTTCTGCAAATAACGGTCTAGCCAAAATTGGTCCTTTATAATCTATAAAAATACCATGTTTAAAAAAAATATCACTTGATAGGTTTCTTAAATAAATGGTTTAAATAAAACTGTCATAGAATTTTACAAGATATTTAAAAAGTATTTTTAATAAACATTTTGAACAGTCTGTAAAAAAGTCTTTTTACAAAAAAACTATTGTCCATCAAAATAAATGTAGAAATGGTTCAAAGCTTGACAAATCAGTTATTAAAGTTTCCTTGGTGTAAAGTTGGTGGAACTTTTTTTGACATTACTAAATTTAATATTTTTCCCAGAAACTATAACACATAATACAGAAATATTATGCACGAGCTGTAAACATAAAGATTAATGATATATTCATTTTAAATGCTTTATACATCTTGATAATGAAGCTTACTCAACCAATCATTAAGTTTCTAACTTTTTACTTTGAAAAAAAATAGGTGCTTTAGGTAATACTTTTTCTATTTCTCAAAAATATGAAAAGTATTTCCAAAGCCACCAATATATATAGCTTCAGTTTATGCAAAAAAAACCTGATTCTTTAAATGATTAGAACTATGATGTTGCTATAGCTTTTATATAGTTTTATAGCTAGCTGTTATCTTTCTAAACAGCAGGGTTTTTATCTTAGTCAGCTGTTATCTTTCTAAACAGCAGGGTTTTTATTTTAGTCAGCTGTTATCTTTCTAAACAGCAGGGTTTTTATCTTAGTGAGCTGTTATCTTTCTAAACAGCAGGGTTTTTATCTTAGTCAGCTGTTATCTTTCTAAACAGCAGGGTTTTTATCTTAGCCAGTTGTTATATTCTAAACTGTTTTTTTTTTTAATTTATTGAATTACAATTTAAGGAATAAAACACTGCTCAGCTAAAAAAAATATAAACCTGATATCTTTAGGGCTAAAAAGTTAGAACTTGTGAAAATTAATTTATATTCAGAACTTAGTAGATTGTCCTAAAGCTACTAAGTTCTTAGTAAACAGGATAATGATCCTGATTATAAAAATGTAAAAGTTAAAATATTGTAGGAATCACATCTTAAAGAAATACTTAGTCATAATTTAAAGTGTGATATATCAAGAATTTTTTTTTATTTTTTTTTATTTTAGGCTGAAATTTTATAAAGAATCTTTTCCTGCACTGCTAGTTTAAACAAACTGTTCAGACAAACCTTGTTTCATTGTATTACGATTGTTCATTGTTTACATCATTTTTTTACCTTTTAGGTTTTTTTTATTTTTTACCTAATAGGTTTTTCTTTTTTCATTAGCGTAATAGGCTTTTTCAAGTTTTAGATATACTCAAATTATTAAAACTTCTTAAAGCTGAAAAACTTTGGAATATTTGGATTATTAGCAAAGATATCTTATTAATTTTTAGCCAAATCAATATTTTTATGATAACATTCATAAATATATCATGGCGAAATTGCATTTAAAATCTAAAGTTTTTTTTAATTTCTCTATAAATAATTTGTTTTGGTAAATTTAAATAAAACTCTAAACTTATAAGGTTTATTTAAGATGTGAACACAAATTTTGTGTCACTTGGACATTCCCATAAGCATTATTAAATTTAAAATACAATATTTTTAAAATTTAGTTAATTACAATCGTTTTTTGTCAAACATTATAGTAGTCTCTATTATTATTCTTATTAATACTATTTACTATAAACTCGATCTTTAAGACATTTATGTACTGTTCCATAAAAATTGCTCCAATGTTGCAAGTAGACTATTCAAACAAGTTTTAAAATCAATTCTTTTTGCACTCTAGCAAAACTAAAATTCTAAAAAAATTTAAATTTCAATTGTAATTAATTTTATTTACTATTTATATATACAGATTACTTTTTATGGCATTGTTAAAATTCTTATTCCGATGCTAAATCCTTATTCAGATGCTAAATCCTTATTCCAATGCTAAACCCTTTACTTCATACTAAATCCTTATTCCAATGCTAAACCCTTCACTTCATACTAAATCCTTATTCCAATGCTAAATCCTTCACTTCATGCTAAATTCTTATTTCGATGCTAAACCCTTCACTTCATGCTAAATCCTTATTCCGATGCTAAACCCTTCACCTTGATTAGTTTGAATTTACAGTTAGGGGAAGTTTTTTTGGTTTGTATTCTCTGCATTTATAGTTTTTTTAATTGTGTTTGGAGAGGATTATTAGTATAACTTTTAGCACATGACAACTATCTTTAGTTGTTGATTGTGCAACAACCACACAAAATTACACAAAAACTGTATTTAGAAAGAACTTAATTACATAAAAATTACACAAAAACTGTATTTAGAAAGAACTTTAATATTGTTGATAAGTTTTACAAATTCGTTGATGATTATTCTTTTAGTTATAAGTTTAAGTGGTTTTATCTGAGTTTTATTTTTTTTTTTAAAGAATAATGCAGTGGTGAGTTTAAAGGTGTGCCTTCAAGGTTTTTTGCTGGGTTCAAAGGGCACACCTTTACTTTCACTGTTAAAAGTTTCAATTGTTTGTGAACAAGGTCTGTTTGTATAGATCTACATTTTACTTAATTTTTTAATATTTTTATTGATTTCTGAAAAGAAGTATTTAAATAACATATAGTTTTGACTTTTTTTGAAATACTTCTATATTATCTTTTTAACCTGGAATGTTTTGAATGAATAAAAATTAAATTCTGGATGAATCATCTTTTTATACATTCAATTATAAATTATGTCAGGTCAGGTTAGCCTGGTACTGGTAACAAAGGCTAGATGCTGACTCCAACATAAAGCACCCCCTGCCTTAGGGCTTCTGGTTGAGTAAAGGCTAGAGATGATGTCTTGATAAAATTACTCATCTCGGGCAGGTGTTAAATGCATCCGGCTGCTGTCTTGTAGAAAGTCTCCTTGGCAAAGACTTAAAGGGTAAACAGATTCTATCTGTTGACCAGCCTCGCACCCCTTCTTCATCTATTAGGCTGGTGCAGATATATTTTTAATACATTGTTTCCAGTTTAGAATGTTGAATGCTGGATCTTCTTGACTCTATGCATGGGTTTTGCTTGTGTCTCTGTTTTTATGACTAGGCAACTCAATATATTATCTCTTAATATATATATATATATATATATATATATATATATATATATATATATATATATATATATATATATATATATATATATATATATATATATATTATATTATATATATATATATATTGCATATAATAAATATTCATATATGAAATACAAAGGTAATCAAAATGAAATAAAAATATAAAATTGTCCTTATCTAAAAAATACAAGCCTTAGCTCATGCACCAGCATTTGGATAGTTATCATGTATAAACAAACCGCATTCTTTCTTTATGTTGCCAAGAAGGATCTCTTAAACCAGTTAAATTAAACCAGTCGTGCTAAAAAGGCATTTAACAGGTGCACTGCTGGTGCTCAATGCAAGATAATAAGATAACCTGCAACAATAGAAACTATGTAAAATAAGCAACATTAAACTTCTCAGAAAAAAAAAATGTTTACAATGCTGAACAACTTTTTTTTTTTCAAAAAAATTACAACGAATATGAATTTATTAAAAAAAAAAATTAGATTTGACTATATTTTTATTTTAACCGTATATTTTAGTTGTTGTTATTTTTGTCACTAGTATTAGTTTAATGTCAAAAATAAAAATATCTTCTACCTAGGCTATGGATGCTAGAATAGGGAATTTTTCTGCATTGTTTTTACAAAACTGCAAGGCTGGTGATTGATTGTCACAAATGGTAAGATAAAGATTTATTTCAGCTTGCAACCCATTGTTATTCTCTAATATTGCTCCAGAATTTAGTGAAGATTTTTTTGTAATATTTAGAATTTAGTGAAGATTTTTTTGTAAGTTTCCTGTAATAAAGTTTTTTTAAAATCCTGAGCTGCTTTGGAACTTTTTTTTGATTCTTCTCAATGTATGATGCAGGGAAATCAATCTTTTTATTTATGGTTCCTGTTTGTGGTAAAAATGTTTGAACCAAATAAAGAAGTTTTTATTTTGTCATAGCTGTTTTCTAATTTTTAACAAAATTTCACATTTTTCTTTTGTCAAAACAGCGTCACGAATGGCTGGATCAAAACAACATACTAATTCTACTAAGTTAGTAACAACAAACCGTTTCTCAATGCATTTTCAGACTAACTTTTTATATCGTTTTATAGCAGAAGAATCTGTGACTTGAACAATACAACAATTTTTAATTTTGATAACCATAAGTGGAAGGCAAGACAAATTTGGTGTTCCCTCGCTAACAAGTAGAGTCAGTTCTCGAAATGGACATAAAAAATTGCGCAGTTCCTGCAGAAGTTCTAAATTTTCACTAAGAAAACATAAATCATACTTCCTAATTTTTTTAACACTGTATCAACATCTGTATGTTGATACAGTGTATGTTGATCAACGTGAGTGTTTAGATCTGATCAACATGAGATCATTTCAAGAATCATTTCAAGAATTTCAAGAATAGGTGGTCTTATCTTTCACAGTTTCAATTTCATTTGATAGCATATATCCCTCAAAATGTAAAGCTTTTATTACTTCTTTGCATTTGCTTACCAGTAAAGTTAATTCTGGAATTTTTTTAAGCTATCTGAGGTTAAAAGCAGATAAATTTCATGTGCGGTGCATGTTACTCGTTCATGGCCTAATAGCTTTGATAATTTGTTCATATTAGCTGCACCATCAGT